ATGACTATTCATTTTCAAGTTTGATGGTGACGAGGCACTGACTTGCACAGTATTAATAAAACTTATTCAAGTCTTATAATTTTACTTTGTAGCTGTAAACTGCACTCTGCATTCCAAAGGCAGGGCAGTTTAAAAAACAAAATAGGGAAAACTGACTTGAGGCGCAGGGTGTGTAAAACTAATTAAAGGAAACTTGTCCTGCGACTATCAGATCAAAGAGTGGTGGAAGTGTTTTGGACACAGTAGTAATGCTGTGCCACAAAGAAGAAGGTCGTCAGCTATCCGTCCTTCTGGTTCTGCCTTTCTAAGTATAGTGCAACGGGTCCTACCATTGCAAACTTGTCAACTCAGTAGAGGTACCATTTAACTGTGTGACTGCGATAATTTAATGATGTTTGAGTTTGGAGAGTTCGACTCTCAGTCTTTCTTAAAAAGTTATATTGTCACTCTCTCTTGCATGATGCTGTGGGTCGTGGACTCCCAACCAGTAGTAAAGTACCGCTAAACTTTTGAATGTCATAAAAAATTACCATCAACAGGATTGCTTGATGAAGACGTCATCTTTCACTCATGTTCTTTTACTATCCTGTTTATATTTCTTCTTCTTCCTTGAACTGCCTGTTGCAGGGAATAATAACATTGACTGTACTAATATCATGAACAATTAAAAACTAACTACATTTTGTTTCATCATCCCAGGTGACCCAACTGTTGGACAGATATGGAGCCAAGCGTGATTCCTATCTCAGCGAGATGGTTAGCCATGTTATTGCTGACACTATGTCGGATGACTACTCTGAGGCTAAAGAATTGTTTGAGTTGCCGATTGTTGCAGTAAGTTATTTGTATAAAATACCTTTTTAGAAATAGAAAACATTGATATTGGATTATTTTATTTCTTATAACTTATTATAATATTATAAGTTCAGTTTTATGTTTGCATTAAAAACATGGTTTATTTTCAAATTTCCTGCGAAATAATGTTTCAATTCATCTTGACGTTGACGACTGAGAAAAGCCTGTCAGACTATCTGGCATGTAGGGATGTAGTTGGGAATTATAGTCGAACCTGCTCTAACGATCACCTGTCCAAGATGAAATCACTTTTACACTTCACACTAAATATATTTTATATATTTAGGTCTGTGTGTTTCGCATTGTTCATTGAGTTCGTGTTGTATTTAATTATTTAGGCACCTGTTATCCTTCTCTCGACTCTTGCCTTCACTCAGCATTTTGACTTATAATAACTTTTTTTCTATTCTTTATCCACAGAGTGACTGGGTCGTGTTGTCAGTGTACTGTGGGGTGCAACTCCCGTATCCTTT